TCCAGATGAAATATGGTCCCATTCTTCTTTCCCGTGGGTGGAGCCTAACTCAGCATTCAAGATTAGAAAGTTTACTTTTTGCATTTTACAAATCCTAAAATGTAGGTCAAAAAAAACTTTCTTATTAAAGACTTATTCTAAATCGGGGTTACACCATGTGCTGATTACTACACTGCATAATCAGCTACTAAGTGGGTGGGTCAAGCCGAATAGCAGCCACATGAGGCGCTGGCATCGGACAGTTTGGTCATGCATTTCGTCCATTTTGGTTCGACCAGACCGGAATACCACGCTATCCCTGTTTTTCGCAGGCAACGATTTATTACCCGTTTCTAGCCTAGATGCGCCAGAGCAACATTAGGCCAATTAATTTCTGAAGGAAATTCGCAGATATGACAAAAATTATCCCTGCTGCGGATTCGAACCCTGGATTTGGATTTCAATGCCGGCCTCTTTGCCACTGTCTCCACCGCTGCCTAGAGCGAGGATTATGCCAACTGTACGCTAGATGAACCGTCCGAGCAAAGGGTAGGAGATCGTTGTCTTGCATGCAATAATGCGAACGTTGTTTTTGCACATCTTCTTACACAATGCGTAATAAAAGTTTGATCCGAAACATGTGGATTTAGTTTAATGGAACTTTATGCAGACGCTTTAGATATTCTGGCGACTAGTTAATAAACAAGCAAAAATTTAGCATCGATCCTTTAACTAATAGTAAAACTAGCATTAACTTTGTCCAAAAAACGCCGTTTGTCGTTCGATGCGGAACGTTGCATCAGTCATAGCGTCGTATTTCAGATATACACGTATAAAGGTCAGTGCAGAATAAACTACCTACATTCTGAGCAGTATTCTATATAAAAATAGCAGAAAAGCCGGCTTCGAACTCCGGAGTTGCCGGGTTCAAGTTTCGTTAAAGGATAGCACCGCTAATTCCAATGAGCCAGACATTAACCCAATCGTTGCTTCAGCGATATTTATAGGTAGTGAGTCTCTGACTGGCAAGAAACAGGGCAGTATAACACTCTGCTGTTGTCGTACAAGAATTGGACACAAGTGAGACCGTGCGTCGGATGCGAGTGCCTCGTAAGGCCGCAATTCGCTTCACTTACCTGAAAACCGAATGCTCAGTGCGTTAAATCAGCACAAGTTGTAACCCACAACAAACAGACTGGGAAGCTAAAAAAATCAGACTTAACACACACATATGTATATGCATATGATACAGCAAAATGGCATATTTCATACACTCCGATACATGCCGTTCTCCTTCCAAGGAACGGAAATTTTGTCACTGCGCATTTTGTAGATATGATTTTCAAGTAAAATATTGAATCCGTTGAATAAAAGTATTGATCAATTTTACTCTTTTTTCCCAAATGGAGGGTAACACGAGAAAGTCAAGGCAAATATTGTCCAGTCACAATCAGTGGCATGAAAATCGGTCAAGAGCGCCATCTCTGACGCATTGCTTGAATGCCAGTGTCGCGGTTTCCGTCCCTGCGGCGATTCTAATTCCAAATATGCCATCCCACATGGTAGATGGTCTGTTTTCGTATGTATTCGCGGTATGTTTAATCATTTAATATCATATATATGCATATGTCGAATTGAACACTGATGCTAACAAGGTATTTGCACGCTTATTTTCACATTCTGTGACGGAACTGAAAACCGACTGATTGAAGTGGCGTACGTTAATTCCAGTTCACATAAATAGAAAGAAATTTTGAGAAACTGCAGGCAGATCGTTTTCCAGTCATGTACTAGATCTCCGCGAATATACTGGCGAATAGTCTTCAGGATAATCTGAATGCTGCACGGCCAGCAACGGTGATTCAGAAATGGATTCATTACCATGAATCATATATATCGCATATGTTTTAGAAAAAGTACTTTAGACATGCAGCGAGTATCGGCTGCCTCCCGATTAGAGGCCGTTCATTTCGAGAAGGGTTGTAAATTATTCTACATCCGTTCTGTACTGGATTCCTTGAGAAGCGAACGAACTCTTTCCCATTGAGAAAAGATACATAAACCTGATTGCAGTGATTTGCCCGAATGCCGCTGTTGGTGTGAAGATTCACCAAGCATAAGACAGTCTAAAAATCAAAGTGGATGTCCAACAGGGGACACTCTATCAAAGTGATTCACAGGAGCCCTAAGTGATGTTCTCTTAACACTCCGTGCGGAAAATCACAGGTTGAACATCAGTGATGCTATTTAAGCCATATGCGGTTTTCGTACGACATCTTGATTCTTCCAGTGACCTGAGAAGAATTCCGAACTGCAATCAAAGAGCTAGATAATACCAGTATCAAGGCAAGACTGAAAATGTGCGTGAAAGGGCTAAGTCGTGTAATAGATATTTGACCGCTTGAACTGTTAATACCAAAGAGCTTGTGCTGGAAGTAGTCCAAAACTGTGTTTCTGTGTGCCATCTCTTCTCTGCAACGGTCAGCGGGAATGTGAAATCAACAGAAGAATAAAGGATTATTAGAAGAATGTAAATATCATTGATCTCTTTGTAAAAATGAAAATGTTCCTATCCTTGAAGTTATCTTTGTGCTTGAAACGGAAAGGACACTCTCAGTATATGTTCTCAGAACTAGTCTATTTCCGCGAAACGTAGTCCTGTACGGCTATTCATAAACTGCACAATGCGTAACAACAGAATGATCTATGTTAGGAATAACACAGAAGAAAGGATGACAAGAACGAAGGCCAGACCATCGCTGGACCAGAGAGACATTAAAGAATTTTTCCAAGATGAAGTAAACGGACCGTAGGAAGACTCCCAGATTGATGGCTGGATAAACTGAAAAGATTTATAGGGTCAGGATAGATGAAATTGGCAGAAAGTAAAAATCAAATGGCGAAATGGCAACGTCTGAGAGTGACCTTATGTTTGTTTAATACATGTCAGAACCAGGTGTTTAATTTTCCTTTCAGCGTGGAAGAACCGTTCGTTCTTATTTACATAGGTGGTAAATTTATAGCACTCAATTGCGAAGCTACTTGGAACTACCTCCCGGAACACCAGATCGATTTATCAAAAAATTGAACCTCGTATAAACCTCGTAAACATCTGTATTGTTTTCATCAGCGGCAGGAAACCAAGATTCTTTTGATTGAAAATATATCAGATTCCAAAATTCATTATTTATTACTTCGCGAACGAAGTTAATATCATAGAGTTTTTGTACTATGCAGATACAAGTTCTGCAAGAGAATATAATAAAAAAACGAAAATTGCGCCGTTATTAGCGAACCATCAATCATTTTTCCTTGTATTCTTTAGGATAGATCATTTTCTGCGTCGATCGCTTTGTCAGAATATACACATATGTAAGATAAACTTAAGTCCTCAAGAGTGTTTTTCTCTAAGCACGGATTTCGATTCATTTCTATCCAAGGCACAAAACCTTTTGCCAGATGATGATGAGTACCTCAAAAGATGCGCATACCATTTCCAACAACTGCTCAAATTCTGTACTCCAGATTTGTTAACGAAATGTACTACCGTTATCTTTTCGTCAGCGTTAAGTTCACATCTGCCGACACAACCAGAATTCTCAAAAGCCTGGCTTCACCTCAGCGGTGAGGCTATGGGCGCATAAAAATCCTTCTGAATTAAATCTCAATGAAATAAAACAGGGGAAATGCTCCATTTTCTGTTTTGTGATATGTTAGTCTCCAAGCGTTTACTAATCAAACTGAAGTGTAGAGTCCCTGCCTTTCGACTGAAAGAGGCTCTGTCGATAGTGTGTTTTAATTTTTGTCATATCGCATTACGTTAAACTTATGAGAAAGTTTCGTTTGCCTTATCCCTTTAACGCTAATGTAGGCGTAAAACGGAAGCTAGAATACTAGTATTAAACACTCATGATCCTCATAGATTGCTCCTGTCCTACCAAATTTGTTCTTTCCACAGGAACATTGGGCAATGACTACGGTTCCATTTTCCTCTACTTTAAAGCTGCATTTGATTCGCGGCATCGTCTGACGGCAAGAAAAATCTTCAGATGCTCTGGGATACATTAATGCATCCTTATTGCTTAAAAAAAGATCAGGTGAGATGCGTGCAGGTTGTATAGGCTGAATGAGAGGCGCGTGAAAGATTCCTTGATAATTGTGAAGTTCATCAAGAGGATGTACCTTCGCTTTTGTCATTAAGCGTATTTTCGACTTTATTTCTGAAGCAAGGTTGGCCCTTTCACTGAAGAAGGTCTCATTCTAAGGGTAAGGTCACCATAAGATATCCGGCTAGCGATCTCGCTACTCTGACGTGTGAAATAAATGCGATGCTATTTCTTGTTGGTAGAACAGGCAAATAAAGCCGCAATCAGATTTAGGCATGTTATTGCAATTTCTAATTAATTATTGGTTCTATTTTAATTGAATATTTTCTTCATTTATTATTGTAGCTTTCTCTTTTCCGAAACAACTTTCTAAACGTATAGATTTGCTGATTTCAGCAACAATTTATGATACTGAATTTGGTGTCGTTTATAAACATGTTATTTTTTTAAATATTAGTTTACTTTTCATGCCTATCGCTTCTGACTTCTACCACATTACATTTTCACATTGTCTTAAATCAGCTTTTTGTCTTCCCTGAAGACTATTTGCCATATTTTGCAATGAATTTGATTAGAGGACGAACCGGAAAGTATTATTACTGCATTCCCGCCCATCTAAATTTTGAGGGCACTTTAGTAATTTTGTTCGGTTTTATATTCTTGTTTAATAACGCGGTCGATGATTAATCGAGCATCCTGAAATTTTAGCTTTTAGGTCAAAATTTGAATTTTCACTGGACATGAAACATTATGAACTTCACAAATGTCAGCATTAACGAACGCATGCGAA